GGCATTCCGGGCCGGAAACAATGGTGAAGAATTCTGAAAAAAAGTATGAGTTTTCTTTTGGTAACAAGTCTTCAGAATCTTTTGGTAATAGTCTTTTCTGGACGACGGTGTTCTGTTTTTGAAAGAGAAAAATGTATATCATATTTTGATTTATCAGAAACAGAATATATTTTTCAATTTTCTTCAAAAGATTTTTCTGTTCTTGTTTGAATTTTCGAACACATGCTGTTCAACAACACACTTGGGAAGACTTTTTGGAGAAGACCCTTTAAGTCGAGTTCCGAACAGCTCGTTCAACTATCGAGCCGGAGGTTGTCCGTGTCAGTGCTGGAAAGTCGACGATAATCGCTAGACGGTTATTGATAAGAGAGTAAAGATTAGGTAATGTCTGGATGGAGTTCAACTTATAAAAACTAAATTTGCAGTAGAACTGGAAATATTATTAACAAAGTTAGATGGGGTTGATAGATTCGATTTGCATTTTAATCTTGTGCACTTTATTTTTTGCATTAAATCTCACTTTATTTTTTTTTTTTTTTTTTCATATCACTCAATTAACCAATTAGAATATAAAGTGAAGCCTAACAAAGTTAAACTTGAATAATAACAAATCACCCACAATTTTTTCAGCAGTGAAGCTATCACATGAGCTAACTAGTGAAAGTGTCTAAGAGCATCCGCATTGCAGCGTTAATTCTTCCCGTTTTAAATGGTGGTTGCTCCGTTCAATGCATTGCGGGCGTTTATTTATTGGTGGGGCTCTTGTCTTCGTTCATTACATTGAACAGCTCTTTTGGACCTTTTTTATATATTTTTTTTCGCCGCCTCTAGTGTGCCTTTTCTATTTTTTTTTATTTTTTTTCATTTAATTTTAATGCAATTTTATTGCCTTTTATGTTGTTTTCATCTAATTTAACTATTTTTTTTATATATATTTATATTAATTTTATCTCCATCACACTTTTCAATATAAATAAATATAAATTTTATCCATATCACACTTCCCAATATATACAAGATAACACAATACATCATCAACTTCATGCTGATTTAGTTGAGCATATTTGGACTCGTTTTGCTAACAACTAAAAAAATATTTTTTTGTAATTGTACTATTATTTTCTTGTGTAATCTTAATTTACGTTATTTTGGTCTTGTAGTGTTCCTTCATTTTCATGCATTTAAAATTTATTATTATAATTTAAAATATTAAAGTTTATTTTTATTGAGAATATAATATAAAAAATTATAGTGAATGAGTAGGTAATGAGTCCCACATATATATTTAAATGAATGTGTAGGAATGTGGGTGTATGTTTAAGTGGAGAAAGTTTTAGTGAAAATATGACGCCGAACGAGATATAGTGTTATTTTTTGATTGAATGAATGAATGATGACTTAACGATAACAAGTATGATTTCAACTTAAATATGGCTAGTGGCTACCCTATATATAGATTAGACGCTACAATATTAGAGTGGAGACCTGTGACCTAACCTGTCTATCAGGTTCAAAATTTAATCCTTATAATGAGAATATTAATTAAATTGGTTATTTATCTAATTTTATCAAAT